GGTGTCACGTGGGCTGCAGCTGTGTACTGATTGGGCTGCAGTCTGCAAGTGGCCCACAAGCTGCAGGTTGAGAACCACTGAGCTAAACCTTCTAGATCTATGAATTCATGGTAACTACAGGGAACAAACAGCAGAGCCCTGCTAGACTCTGTAATTTAAAAGAGACTTTCCTGAAGGTCCCATCTCACCCCATGAAGGCCCATTCTAACATTCTTCTCCTTTGCAGATGAATGAATCTGAGAAACTCAGACCCATGTTATTCCTCCTCCTGCACAGCAGGAAAGTCACAAATAAACCGTCATCCCAAGGCCAAGGTCAGGACGTTGCATTTCAAACCTCCTGGAGACCATTATTGCTCCTGAATGTATCCATTTTATTAAACAACGTACTGTCAAGTAGAAATGAGAGGTTACAGAGCATAAGATAAGATCATTTCTATTTTGTGTGGGTGCTTCTACCGTGCCCAACCCCACAGTGTGTGAGCACCCCCACCTATCAGTGGTGTAATAAGCAGCCTGTTCGTTCTCTCATCCTTTAATGGGGGAGAAGTGTGTGCAGTGCTGTGACAGGTTGAGCCCCCATTTCTGGGGTGCCACTGGATGTGCTGGGGTCCCACTGAGTGTGCCTGTCCCCCCCAGCCTGGGTCCCACCCCGCGACTCTGTGCTGCTGTGTCAGGCTCTCAAACCCCCCTTTCCAGCCACACAGGTAGGGACACGCCCAGCGCTAGAATCACCCCGAGTCTGCGATCAGCTACTGTGGGAGAGCTCAGCTCAGGGAATTGCCCAGCGCTCTGGTACGGTGCCAACTCTCCTGTGGGGAATTAACTTAAATGTAGGAGTGGATCAGGGGACATTCAGAGAGTCTTGAAAAATCATAATCAAATCCCATCACAGTGTGGGAATCTTATCCCAGCCTCCTGCTCTACACAAGTCTGTTCCAGGAATGGGATTTTATTCTCTGCTTTATAACAATTGCATATCCCCATTACACGGTGTAACAATGGTGCCCTTGGTGGGACCCAACCGAGAGTGCCAATTCAGGACAAAATGCTTAAAGCAGGGCAGTTACAGCCCAGAGCTGGGGTTTTTCCACCTCTAAGGCAAACCAAACCAGCCAGACAGTGAAGACTTTGGTCTCACCCCACTGGCGAACCACACGTCACACAAGCAATTCCCTTAGACACTCCAGTTTCCCAGTACACCACCAGTGCCACTCGTTATGGGGACAAATGGTTATGAAAAACAATACCCCAGTAACCTTTTTTCTTTTCTCTTGATCCCAAAGGACCAAGCCCCAGACCCAGGTCAATATACAAATTAGATCTTACCCACAAATCACGCTGTTGCCAATCCTTTAGAATCTAAAATCTAAAGGTTTATTCATAAAAGGAAAAAGATACAGATGAGAGCTAGAATTGGTTAAATGGAATCAATTACACACACAGTAATGGCAAAGTTCTTGGTTCAGGCTTATAGCGCTGTTAGAATAAACTGCAGGTTCAAATCAAGTCTCTGGAATACATTCCCAGCTGGGATGGGTCATTCGGTCCTTTGTTTAGAGCTTCAGTTTGTAGCAAAGTCCCTCCAGAGGCAAGAAGCAGGATTGAAGACAAGATGGAGGAGATGCAGCAGTCTTTTATAGTCTCTTGTCATGTGGCCTTTCTTTCTTTGTTGCAAAGACAAGCATTCGGACACATGGCAAGAAAAAAACCTTAGAGTTCAGTCCATAGGCAGGTCCCTGCAAACCTTGCTGAGTCACAAGGTGTATCTGCCTTCTCTCAATGGGTCAATTGTATAGCTGATGGTCCTTAATGGACCATCAAGCAGGCTAGGCAGTGCTGACGCCACATTGTCTGGGGTATCATCCAGAAGCATTGCACAAGTTTGAAATACAGACAGTATAGAGCCAATACTGATAACTTTAAATACTAAAATGGCACATGCATACAGACAGCATAATCATAACCAGCAAACCATAACCTTGTTTTAGACACCTTATCTGATCCCCTTTATAGAAGATTTGGTGCCACTACAGGACCTTGGTTGCAACAATAATCTATATGGTCCCAGTTCATGTCAATAACGTCACACACAGTCACTCCAGCCTGGCCTGATGCTCTGAGGTTCACAGGAACTGGCAAAGACGTTATTCACTTGGCCCTTCCCTAGTCAGGGCACTTCAAGGATTTCTTGCCTGTGTGGATTCTCTGATGTTTAGTAAGGTGTGAGCTACATCGGTATGTTTTCCCACAGGTCATGCACTTATAGGGCCTCTCTCCAGTGTGTACTCTCTGGTGCACAATAAGTGCTGACGGTACTCTGAAACTTGTCCCACACTCAAGGCATTTATAGGGTTTCTCTCCCGTGTGTACTCTCTGATGTACAAGAAGGTCTGAGCTCTCCCCAAAGCTTTTCCCACAATCACAGCATTTGAAGGGCTTCTCTCCTGTGTGTACCCGCCGATGCCTGCTAAAGATTGAACTGTCACTGAATGTTTTTTGGCACTCGGGACATTTATAAGGTTTCTCTCCAGTGTGTTTTCTCTGATGTGTGGTAAGAGCTGAACTGTATCGGAAGCTTTTCCCACAGGTCAGACATGTATAGGGTTTTTCTCCTGTGTGGATCTTCTGGTGTTGATTGAAATGTGATTTATCACTGAAGCTTTTCCCACAGGTCAGGCATGTATAGGGCTTTTCTCCCGTGTGGATTCTCTGGTGTCTAACAACTTGTGAGAGCTGAACAAAGCTGATCCCACACGTGGGGCACATGTAGGGCTTCTCTCCTGTGTGGAGTCTCTGATGGTTAATGAGCGTCGTACTCTGAGAGAAGCTTTTCCCACACTCAGCACATCTATAGCGTTTTTCTCCCATGTGGATTGGCTGCTGAGTAATATGGGCAGAACTCCCAGGGAAGCTGTTCCCACAGTCACCAAACATACTGGGTCTGTCTCCAGGGGGGATTCTCTGCTGGGAAGTTTCTTTCATTTTTCCAACCCCTCTGCTCCGGTGAGCTGATTCACCCTGGCTCTTTTCCCGGGTGCCCGCATGGCCTGGGCTGAGTCTCCTACGATCTCCCCAAACTGTCCTGTGTGGTTCCCCCACTCCAGACTCCCAGCTGAGGATTCTCCTCCTTGGTCTCACTCACCGTCCCAGAGACACAGCGATAATCCAGTTCACGTCACGCCCTATGCTGCAGAAAAAAGGGGACAAACCAAAAGGGGAGTGGGAAAGGGGAAACACACCAAACAACTGCCCCCAAATCCTTCCCCAGAGAGAGAAAGGAGGGAACCAATTCTGGCACCTCATTCCCATCTGAATATTAGGAGAGAGTTTGTTTCTACCTGGGCACACAGGATTGGTGAAAACTCAGAACTGGCATTTGCCATGAGGGTGTAAAACACGGTTTCTGAGCCACTTTTGCCAATTCCTTACCCCTGCGGGCATCTCTCAGTATCTCTCTTTCCTCCTCTCCCTGGAGACTGGGGACCCACAGCTCCTCCCTTCACTCCAGCCAGGAGATCACGTCAGGTCTGGAAATGGGAACTCCTACTTGGGGTCAAGCAAACAAATGAGCAACATCAAGTTAGGGCCCAACAGTCAGTTATCTCAATATTTGGCCTGAGTTTCACAAATGCTGAGCCTGCAATGCCGGGGTTCGGTTCTGAGTGTCCAGAGCTATTGAGACCAGGCCACTTATTCCGCTGCCTGACTATGGATTTGGAAATGTACTTTTAGGGTCCCGTAATTAAAGTTCCTGGCCTTGGTCATGTGATTATAGCACAGACTCTGCCCCTGCCACTGGGAATAAATCTGTGAGGCATTTGTAGATCTGGCTAGTAACAGAGATTTAATAAAGTCAGTGATGCCACTCAGATGGCTGAAGACACCCATGTGTGGAAGTGTTTGGCAAAATCAGACCCTAAGTTAATAAACAAAACTTACCAAATGGAAGAAGGAATCAGTGTGTGCACAGAACGGAGAGTTATTGAACCCTCGGAAAACACACACATCACAGGTCGTTTTTAACCAGAGCTGAGAGACGAGACTGTCTGACCTAGGAATTCTCTCTGCGTCAAATGTAGTTACCAACCTAAATCCTTCTGCTACCGAATTAGTTCAAAAGTTGATAACACTTTTTAAAAATAATGGTAAAAGGGTTGTTTCCCCCTTGCTCAAAATGAGGCTAAGTGGTACTTTTTAATCTGTTTCCAAAACAAATTTGCTCTGGACAGAGACTTTCTACCCTGAAGATGAACATAGGCACTGCGGCCAGACGGGCTCAGAGCCAAGGTCCATCCAGTGACGTTCAGCACTTTATAAACAACTGAAAAGGATAAAATTGTGCACCCAAAGAGCAGAATCAAAAGTGCCTCTTTGGGGGATCCCCGTGACCCTGTCCCCAGGGCAGCGCGTCCCCCCGGCAGCGCGGTGACCAGGCAGAGGCAGGAACTGGCTTTTCCTCTCCCTGCTCCTCCCCTCTCCCAGGAAAGTCACTGTCCGGGGGGGCTGCAGGGAATGGGGCTGGGCGGGGCTGGGAGCCGGGAACCTCCCTCCCCCCACTGCTCCTGCTGCCCCTGCCAGTCTCTGCCCCGGCTCCCTCCTGCCCCCTCGGGCTGGGAGCCTCGGGCCCTGGCCCGGCCTGGGGCGGTCACTCTCCCGGGGCTGGCTCGGCTCCTGCAGGCGCTGGGGGGGCAGAGCCCGGGGGGGGCAGCAGCTCTGGGACTCGCAGCCCCCCCGGGAGCAGAGCTGGGGGGGAGGGGCCGCTGGGGCAGAGTCACTTCCCTGCCCGGCCCCAGCCCTTCCCCCGGGGCCCCCTCACCTGCAGGCTCGGCCCGGGCTCGGCTCACAATGGAGGCGGCGGCAGCGTGTGACCCGGGAAGTCCAGCCCCGGATTTGCGGAGCCTGGGAGCTGGAAGCCCGGCCCCAGGATCGGCTAGTCTGGGGGGGGGGGGCTCGGGGCATGCGCAGTAACCGCTGCTGAAGCCGCTGCCCCCAGCGCTGCCCTCACTTGCCAGCCCCTCCCGCTCCCTGCAGCAGCCACAAGGAGGGGGCGGGGGGATGGGCGGGGCCCAAGCCCTGGTGGGTCAAACGGGGCGGCCGGGTCCGAGGGGGCTCCAGGGAACGGGGTGCGCGACTCTCGGAACAGCCAGACTAAAAGCTGCCTGATGCGGGTACTTCATTGGGAGTGACACGTGCTGGAGGCTGCTGGTGTTCGGATCCCCTGGGGGGATTTGTAAATATCACAGAGGACAATGTCCTGACTCAAAAGTTGCGGCATCCCACACAGGAAAATTGCATATCAGACCCTCATCCTGACCGAGAAAGAAAAAACTGATCACAGAACTGAAACTCAGTGGTAGTTTGAGTAAAAGTCCTTGTGACTTGACTACATTTGTTATTTGCAAACGAACGAAGTCCAGACCAGTAATATAGATGTATACTTGGTGCTTTTGAGCGGCCAGTTACATGAAGCTGAAAATAATTTGTGCCAAATCAGCTGGGCAGAAGAATCGAAATAGAAAAATATGAACGAGAATTGGACATTGTTTAATAGCACATTAGTAAATGTCCAAAATTGTGATTGTGTGGTTGTGAACAAGAAGGCCTGCTGGCTTAAACAAAATTGGTTGAAGGCAGCTATATAAAATCAGTCAATCAATCCATCTCTCAAATGCAAAAAGTGAAAGTTGATAGTTATACAAACAAATCAGCAGCTAAGAACTATAGAAAAGTGAAAAGGGAAGGACAGAAACACCAGGCGAACTCTATGGCAGCAGAGTTAAGGGTGACACAGAGGAGTTATGAAAGGGTTTTTAAAGAATATTAAGAACAAAAGGAATTCTAAAAATGATTGTGGTCGATTATTAGATGGAAATGGTAGAATTGTCAAAAATAATGCAGAAAAAGCTGAAGTCTTCAATAAATATTTCTGTTTTGTATTTGGGAAATAGTTGGATAATTGTGGTCATAGCAGATGATGCTGATGAAATGCTTTCCACTCCTAAAGGATTTCTGGGGGATGTTAAACAGCAGCTACTAAAGTGAGATTTTTTTTTAAAATCAGCAAGTCAAGATAATTTGCATCAAGAGTATTAAAAGATCTGGCTTAGGAGCTCACTGTGCTGTCAGAGTTGATTTTCAATAACTCTTGGAACACGGGGGGGTGATGTGGGTCATTATAAGCCATCAGCCTGACGTCCATCCCAGGCAAGATGATGGAATATCTGATATGGGACTCAATTAATAAAGAATTAAAGTATTTTGCTCCTGCAGCTGAGCTGCCATAAAGCATTATGTAAAATGAGTGGAAAACAGACGTGTCATAAGTGCACTATGATGTCATAAGTGCGCTGAACTGAGTGTCGTCAGAGCACCTGTTTGTTTTCCTTCCCCCTCCCTAGCCCCCAGCCACAAGAGTACAGAGCAGAATGCACTGGGTACTGCTGATGCTGTGCAACTTCATTCGTAATGAGACGCCCCCTCCCCCAGAGTTCAAATCAGGGTAGCTTGTCCGTGGTGCAGTGGAGGGTGTGGTGTGGTCAGATGTTAGGCTGCATGTGTGTATTCTTTCTGCAGGCTCTACTGACTCTGGCCGGACAGCCCCGCAGGCTCCAATCAAACTGCCCAATAAATCCACAGACTTGGTTTGTAGCAAAGGGCGAAGGCACTTGGTCAGGTTTCTTGTCAACAGAGAGGAGAGAGCAGCCATTGGACTATATGCTGAGCAGCTGCAGATTGAGAGCTCTGTGCCAGTGCTTTGGGGAGAGCCGCACTGATGGGTGGGTGGCGGACAGGGAGAGATTTTCTGGAACGTGTGGAATTGGCAGAGAAGATGCCCCTGTGTAACACCCCAAATAGTAAAGGAATTAGGGGCATGAAGGTGCGGGGATCTTAGCAAGGTGGAAGGGCGGGAAATGAAGGTGCTGAAAGTGAAGAAATGACTGAATATGTTGCAGTTTTGATTTTATTAGGAATTGCTCCTGGGAATGTTACATATTGGTGGGAATATTCCAGACTGGTTTTTTTAGTAGAGTTGGACATTTAAACAAATGAAGTAACTCCAATTGATTAAAACAAGTTAACCAGTAACATGGTGCAAAGGTAGGAGCAATGGAGCGGAGGCTGAGCATAGCCCGAGTGCTCAATGCACCTCTGTGTGTGCTGCTGGGTTCCGACACTCATGAAAGTTGGGTGCTAGGAGCTGGTCCCAGAGGGACCATCAGCTCATGCTTTGCTTTTCCTGGGGGTGGAATAGCGGGGGCAAAGCCCTGCTACTTGGGAGGGGGTGGAGTCAATGGAGATTGCACTATTCGTGTTCTCCCCTGGGTGCAGGACGTGGCTCGATGGGGCGGCTAGTCATGACTTTGGCAACAGAATAACAACAAGGAGTCTGGTGGCACCTTAAAGACTAACAGATTTATATGGGCATAAGCTTTTGTGGGTAAAAAACCTCACTTCTTCAGATGCTTATGCCCAAATAAATCTGTTAGTCTTTAAGGTGCCACCAGACTCCTTGTTGTTTTTGTGGATACAGACTAACACGGCTACCCCCTGATACTTGGCAACAGAATGTTCTCCCGCACAGCTGTTTGCATCTGCACCAGATGCATCATCTCACTTTCCTGGGCCAGGCGCTCCCTTTCCATCTCTTTCTGTTCACTTATGAGACTTTCACATCACTTCAGGAAACCTCTTCTCCACACTTCTGCCCTACAAGGCCCTCTGCTGGGAGGAAACCACAATTTCAACAGCCACTTCCTTTCTCCTCTTCTTTCCGAGCCAGGCATTCAGTGGTTTATAAGGCATGGACTGTGCATTGCAGGTGCTTGGGGAACTCAAAGATATCAGAAATCATTCTTGTGCCAACACAAATTTCCAAGACAGCCATGTTAACATATTGCTTCCGTTTCACTTTTAAATGCCAGCGTGAGAGTCTAGAACATCTCTGCAGAGAAAGAGCCAGCGAGAATTGTGATGTGAAATGATCTAAAGTCTGTTCTGAAACCCCCCCCCCCAGTCCCCTGACAGGCTGCAGAACAACACCCACGTTTCACTGCGGATTCTCCCAGCCTGCCCCGGAAAGGGAAATGGCGGTAGCAGAGCTCGCTCGGGTAGGGATACTGAGGAAATGCTGGCGGGTTCCTGCAGACAGTGAATACACAAGAAGTGGGGGTGACTAGGGAGTTTGATCTGAGGGTGGGAGGGTGCAGGCAGAGCACAGGAAGGGGAAATGGAGTGGGATGAGGTGCGATGAACCTGCTGGGACTTGTTAAATCTGGGGCCTAGATTCTAGGAATAGACCCCTGGGGTTGGTGGAACAGGGAACAAACCAGCCTGGGCTGGGGAAAGTGCTGGAGGGTGAGCCCACTAACCAGAGGTTCTTATGACATATGAAGGGGGCTCCCACCAGTGAGGCTGAGGGAAGATGCCCCATCCCCTGACATCCAGCTGCTGGCAATGAGGAGGGTGTTGGGCTTCCGGGGAGGGGGGAGGGAGGGATTTATCTCCAGTTCAGCCTCTGGCATGTAGGTGTGTGATGAAAGGGTGGACCCTGCCCTCTCTGTCTGCTGGGAAGGATGAGGGGCTCTTTCTTATCTCCTCTCCCCCAATGCCTCCAGGATGCACTGAGCTGGTTGTGGGTTCGACTCCACTGACTGTGTCTCCATTTGATTGGCTCCTCTCCCCCATGAGTCCTGGGGCTGTGGCTGGGGCAGCAGGTTCTGAGTGGGGGGCTCTTGCTCTTTCAGGGCCCAGTGACCTTCGAGGAGGTGGCTGTGTAATTCACCAGGGCAGAGTGGGCTCTGCTGGACCCCGCTCAGAGAGCCCTCTACAGAGACGTCATGCAGGAGAACTATGAGAATGTGACCTCGCTGGGTAAGGATTCCTGTCCCCTCGGTGCTTAGGAGGGGAAATGCAGAGTGAAGGTTCATGTCTCTCCCATAATGCAACCTTGACTCTGCTCTGATTCAACAAAACCCCAATACACCAGTGACACACACACTAGAGCCCTGCCCTCCTCACTACAGAACACTCTGGGAACAGGGCACCTGAGCCGTGCAGCACAAAGTCAAACAACTTCTCTTGGCTAAGGTCAAAAGTGGGGTTAGATCCTGCATAGCAAACAGACGTTTGACACCTGGCTGGCACTCAGAGCCTGCGCCACACAAACCATCACAGACTTGCCAAATCTTACCATGCCTTTGCCCTCCCTCTGAGGATTCCTTCTGAGGCATTGCCTTCACTTACTGCTCTGAAAACCCTGTAGACCACTAGCATATACGTCGCCAGACTGCTGACAGTGCTCATACGCAGACGCAGAATACGCAGCTGCGTAGGGTACCACGAAATTTGGGGCACCAAATTTCCCCAAATTTCATGGTGCCCTAGGCAGCTGCATGCTGCATACGCGCAGCACCAGCTCTGGCGGCCAGCCTCATCCCCCGGCTGCGCCCACTGAGAGGGGCTGGACTGTCCCTAGGGAGCTGTGGGGCCTGGGACAACTCCCTTTGCCCCTGCTCCGCCCCTGGCCCGCCCCCATTCCACCCCTTCCCCACAAGCCTCTTCCCCCAGCAATGGACGCAGCCCGGAGGATTAGCAGGGGGCCTGCGCCGGCAGCAGGGGTCAGGCCCGACCCCGCACTCACTGGAAGTGGCAGGAAGTGGAGCAACCCGGTCCCAGCCTGCTCCACTCCACCAGCTCCCAGCCGCGTTGCTCCGCTTCCCGCTGCCAGTGAGTGCGGGGGGCATCCTTTCCCCAAAGCCCTCACCCAAGCGACACAGCTGGGGTTGGTTCGCTCTGCTTCCTGCTGCCGGTGCCAGGCCCCCTGCTAATCCCCTGGGCCCCATGTGGGGTCCCCCAAAGCGGCCCCCAACAGCTCCTCGAGCGCGATGCCCTCCCCGCCCCCGG